GTGTGTGTGTCAGTAAGCAGCGCATTAATATAGAATGGTAATTAAAGGCTCTAATGCACACCAGCACACCAGTATAGGTGTGTGTATTGTATGAGCTAGACGACGTATGATGACGTGTGACGGCATAGTAGTGGTGTCCCAATTCTTATCGATACGATACGATAACTCTGAGGGATAATTATAACATTTTACGTTTAGACATTTAGGAGACGCTTTTATCCCAAGTGACTTACAAAAGAGGAACAAAAGAAATTTGTCAAGGAGCCAGCAATATTCAGAATATGCAATATATAATGCCAGGTTTACTGGACAACTACATTATGAAGCAAACTGGAGAAGAAAATGCAGAAAAGATTGTGTGTGTGTGTGTGTGTGTGTGTTGGTTTAAAGGTGTGCTTAAGTGCTTGTGGTAGAGCTGCTTCTTAAAGATGAGATGGTCTAAGCAGTTTGGGTGTAGGTTGGCAGCTCATTCCACCAGAGACAGAGAGGGTGAAGGGTCTGGAAATAGACTTTGTGCCTCATTGTGAAGCAACAAAAAGGCGTCACTCATTCAGAGACCTGAGCTGATGGGAAGCATAGACTTGAATTGAGGTATGGAGGTGCTGTTCAAGTGGTAGTCCTGATTCTGGCTGCAACTGGGAGCCAGTGGAGTGAAATCAGGAGGGGTGTGACATGGGTTCTCTTTGGCTGATTGAAGACCAGATGTGCTGCCATGTTCTGGATCATCTGCAGAGGTTTAGTTGTGCTGACTGGATGGCCCACCAGTAGAGCAGTGCATAGCTTGCCTTGGACAAGTGTATAGTTTTAACAATCTCCTTAACTCTAACAGAATATCGAAGTCCAACTATACAGTCACAACTATAATAATTGGAATCACTTTTAAATCACTTTTCAAAAATGTTTCCAGCTCAGGATTGATAAAAACATTGACAGCCAATCAAAATCCACTCAACATTAAAGAACTTGAGCATTTAAAACAGTAGACAACAAAACTGTAGCATTAACTCACAATAAACAGAATGGTATCATGCATTGCTGTGGATGCTAATACAGTCACCATTATAGTTTATTGTGCCTTGACTTCAAAAAAGGTTTGAGTTTAGGATGTACTTTGTCACTGCTACAATGAAATAAACTTCTTCATTGAAATCTTAAGTCATTGTTTCTTACATTGCAGATGGAACAAGGCCATATATTTACTACTGTCGGTCACCCAACATGGAGATCTTCACCTGCTGGTGGCAGCCGATTGCTAATCAGGACAATGTCACGTACACGCTCCTATACACCACAGGGTGAGGCATGAATAAAACACACTTTACAGCATGTCAAACTCCTTGATATATCTGTTTAATATTCAGTCACTTGTATTTATTGTCATTTTTCACCAGATTAGTGTTGTTTATGTAGAGTGCAAATACTGCTGGTAATTATATGATGCAATGATCCTTGTGAATGCTGTGAATGGTGAACAGACGTCATGTCGTCCCGCAGTGAACACGCTCCTCAGGAGTGTCCCGATTACGTGAGCGGTGGCATCAACAGCTGCTTCTTTGATGCCAAACACACTCAGATCTGGGAGATGTACTGCATGAACGTGACGGCACACACGCGCACTGGGCCCATCACCTCCCAGAAACACTGCCTGGATGTGGCCGATATAGGTGAGTGTAATTTCTCCTGAAGTTTTCCAGTATCATCCACTGAGCTCAGCACAGACCTTTAATTATCTTTTTCAACCTATCTTACATGCAGTTTAGTACATGTATCATACATCATATATCATACATACATCAGTAGCAGATATTGAGATATCCCAAAGACATTGATGAGTCTGTGTGTTTATCTTGCCTTACACTCTTAAAAATAAAGGTTTTTTATTGGCATCAATGTTTCCATTAAGAATCTTTAAAGAGCAGGTCATATGGTATTTTAAAGTGTCCTAATATTGTGTTGGAGACCCCTACAACAGGTTTAAATACATCTAAGGTTAGAAAACATTGTAATGTTCTCTGAATATACATTTAATATTAGAATCATTTGCCAATGATTTCGAAACGATTCGTTCCAAGCAATTTTGGAGCCAACCCCTCCCTTCCATAAGCCTACTCTGCTCTGATTGGTCAGCTGGCCAAGCCTG